CTAAATTCAGCCAATGATTTTCAAGATGGTGAGGTACAGATTTTTAGCAGGGTGATTTGAGAGAGTTCTATTACCCTAGGTCATTTTTATTCTGAAGAAAATGCTTCTTTGAACAAAAAAGGGGGTTCAGTATCAATTCTCCCCTCAGTGTGCAGGCCGACCTCCATCCTAAAGCCAAAGCAGAAACCAGACCAGTCTAATACTGAAGCACTCAACTGAACTGGAGTGCGAACACAGGCTGCTCAGACCTCAATGCTGCTAATGACTGTAGCAGAGGGGGAGAAAGAAAAGCTGCTTTTTAATAAGTTTTAACAATCTAAACTAAAAAAGTGTGTATTTTTCCTAGAGCTGATACTGCTTCTGTCTGGAGGGGCCTGTCTAGAGGGGCCTAAGGGAGATCACCAACTACAAGCCCAAAGCCCCCTCTGTACTGACGACCACAGACTGGCTAACAACCTGAACAGGTTTTTCAGCCGCTTCAACGCTGCCCCGGACACCTCCCCCATCCCCCATTACTCTAACGACCAACCCATCAGCTCTGCCCCCACCCTGACAATAGTCTCAGAAGACATCAAGCGTCTCTTCTTGAGGCTGCACCCCTGAAAAGCTCCTGGCCCGGACCATGTGTCTCCAGCCACTCTGAGACACTGTGCCAGTGAGCTTACTCCTGTGTTCACTGACATTTTCAACAACTCTCTGCAGTCCTGCCATGTCCCGGCCTGCTTCAAATCCTCCATCATCGTCCCCGTCCCGAAGAAGCCCAGGATCACAGGACTCAATCACTACAGACCTGTGGCACTTACGTCTGTCGTCATGAAGTCATTTGAACGCCTGGTCCTCTCCCATCTCAAGTCCTTCACCTCCCCCCTCCTGCAGTTCACCTACAGAGCCAACAGATCTGTAGGCGACACCATTAACCTGGCCCTCCACCACATCCTACAGCACCTGGACTCCCCGGGGACCTACGCCAGGGTCCTGTTCGTGGACTTCAGCTCTGCCTTCAACCCAACTCAATGTGCCCTAACCCTAACCCTGCAGGTGGATCACTGACTTCCTGACAAACAGGAAGCAGTGAGTGCGTCTGGGGAAGAATATCTCGGACTCTCGGATTATAAATACAGGAGCCCCACAGGGCTGTGTTCTTTCTCCCCTGCTCTTCTCCCTGTACACCAACCACTGCACCTCCAGCCACGACTCTGTGAAGCTGATCAAGTTCGCGGACGACACCACCCTCATTGCTCATCTCCGACAACAATGAGTCCGCCTACAGGAGGGAGGTGGACCGGCTGGTGTCCTGGTGCAGTGGTAACAACCTGGAGCTGAATGCCCAGAAGACAGTGGAGATGATTGTGGACTTCAGGAAGAGCACTGTGCCCCCGCCCCCACCCTCCGTGATGGACTCCCTCATCACCTCTGTGGAGTCCTTCCGTTTCCTGGGCACCATCATCACCCAGGACCTCAAGTGGGAGCCGACCATCAGCTCCCTCATCAAGAAGGCCCAGCAGAGGATGTACTTCCTGCGGCAGCTCAGGAAAGCCAAGCTGCCTGCACAGATGTTGGTGCAGTTCTACACGGCCATCATCGAGTCCATCCTCACCTCCTCCATCACCGTGTGGTTCGCTGGAGCCACAGTCAGGGACAAACAGAGACTACAGCGCATTGTGCGCTCTGCAGAGGAAGTGATCGGCTGCAGCCTTCCATCGCTGCAGGACCTGTACGTCGCCCGAGCTCGAGGCCGGGCTGGTCGTATCACAGCCGACCCCTCTCACCCTGCATATGGACTATTCCAACCACTCCCCTCAGGCAGGAGGCTGCGGTCCATCAGGACTAGAACCTCCCGCCACAAGTTTCTTCCCCTCTGCTGTTGGACTCTTGAACACTTGAACACTTCTTAACCTCCCCACCCTCTAGAAGTCCCCTACTGCTCTATAAAATGTCACTTTACTGCCCATCATACGTCACTTTACTTCACTGTACTGCTGTCACCTTACATTGTGTGCACCATGTGCACTTGTATATTGTATATAGTAATTATAACTCTATTTTAATTTTAATTTTAAATGTATTCCTTTGAGGTGTTTTTTATTCTTTTTATTTTATTTTATTCTCTCTCTCTGACTGTTGCACCGAGCCAAAGCAATTTCCAAGTCTGTGACCTCCTGTTACTTACGCGGCAATAAAAATTATTCTGATTCTGATTCTGATTCTGAAAGATCAAGGCTCCTGTGGACTCACCACCTGCAGGAGGATCAGTGAGGGTCTGGTCTTATGTGTACTGGGTGCAGCTCTGACTGCCACCCCCTGACCCAGAAATGGATTAAGGGGAAGAAAATGGATAGATGGATGGATTTCCAAGAGCATTTTTTGAGATATTGAAGAACTCCATGATTTTTTTCACTGTTATTGGGAGATTTGAGCTGCATTTGACCATCCGTCCAATGCCACCATGTGTTAAATGGGTCAGAGGGGTTTGGAAGTATATTAGCGTCAGCAAACCATGCATGTATATCTGTCGGTTTTGTACTATGCGCACTATAGTTTTTGCACTTTCGAAACTAAGTCTTATGTTGTATATTTATTTATACAGTATATTAGTGCTGTCCAATGATTACATTTTTTAATTGCGATTAATTGCATGAATGTCTTAGTTAACTCCTGATTAATCCCACTTTTTATCTATTCTATATGTCCTTTGAATTATCATTTAGTAACAGTGGCAACAGCAAAAAAGAAAACTACAAATAAAGTAGGTCACTCAAATTAATAAAAAAAAATATGACACGGTATTGACTTGGGTAACGTTTTAAAAACTCTATATTTTGGACAGTACTAATATATATATATATATATATATATATAGATTATGTGTGCTCCCTGTGTGCTCCCTGTGTGCTCTTACTACTCTTCTGAATGTTCGCTAAAACATTGAAATGTTCCCCTTTAGGGACGGATCAGTGGTCGTTATAGTGCAGGAGCCCACCAACCTTCTAAACTTTCACTGGGCGATTGAAAAAGCCAGTTTTTTCTTCCTGACATATTCATGGAGCACAGAAGCTGTTTTAACCAGGCAGAGTGGCCCGATCTGCCAAGAGGTCATTGTGCACTAAACCCCATAAATATTGAATCAACGCGCCACAGATTCCTGCAGCGTCATGCGATTCACTGGAGCACGCACTTCCGCTCGGCCCGTCTTTGACAAACGACCCGAGCCGTGACGGTGCAACAACAAAAGCACAAGTTATTTTGCTGGTTATTTAAATTCACATACCGCACTTAAGCTCCGTCAGACAGCGAGCACATCAAGACGCGCGGATAATACGGTGCGCGCCCATATTTCAAGTCCACAGTCCTTCCCCTCACTCTCCATCTGCCGCCGCGCCCTCTCACTGAAGATAGATCACTGGGGGTCTGTCAGCAGTAGTATCGCACAATGAGAATGTATTGTCCGCTGTCTTCCATAATAAATGCCGCTATCTGTGCTACTGTTCCCGCTCGTAATAGATGGCCCGTATCTACACCGCTCCTGTTTATGAGATTATCACGCGGGCCACTGTAAGCCCCACGACAGGAGTGAAGAAGAAATTACTTTATTGCTTGAGGGGTCCAGCGGAAGTTATCATCTGCTGGAGTGTGTATAAAAAACTACGTGAATAGCCGGTTACACTGTCACTTGTGTTGAGAGGGCGCAGGTTAAATTGTGGTGTGATCGCTCTGGTATGTGCCTGTGCTTTGAATGAGGTGATGTGTTATTGAGAAAGGCCACCTGAAGGAGGGAAGGAGGCAGGCAGGGGAGAGATGCGTATCGGTGTCTTCCCCATCGGCGCCATTTGTCATTTTTATCGTCCTCTGATTTGTGCACGCATGTACTTATAATCAGGGGGAGATCTACGGCACTAATTCAAAGTGCCGTGCCGCTATATACAGCATGTGGCACGTGAATAAGAGGAGCAGTGTTTAGCATGTGGTGTTCGGAGCAAAGCAGAAAAGTATTGGGAGCTAATATGGGTTGAATGTGATGGGTTTTAACTTTTTCATTAGTATTAGACCGGGGGTGTGCAAACGTTTTAGTAAGAGGGCTACGTTAGGTCACCGGAATTATTCCCTTGGGCAGACAACGGAGATTGTAAAAGACTGAGCTGAAGTTGAGCTACATTAGTGCCATAGATGGAATTTTGCCTCAGGGTCTAGGCTTTACAATGAGGTACATCATGCATATATATTGGAGGAGCGGAAGTTGGCTGAATGACACTGTGAACTTATGTTTATGATCTCAATGATACTGGGGATTAGCCAGGCAGAGGGCAACAAAACATGACACAGGGGTCCTCGATTGGCCCATGGGCCTTAGCTTCTTTACACCATCTGTGTTTTTATTGCTTAAAAATACATTGAAATACATGCATTCTGACAGTTACCCTGGTGTGATATTGTTTTGCGGGTTCAATAATATAATTGTTTTATTGAGACAACAAATCAAGTGTTTTGTGATGCATGAAAAACTCAGGACGGCAAATACACAATATTAACCCATCAATAAACTACCAGAAATTACAGTAGGCTTTTTTTCTTTACACATATTCCATGGTGCTCTTTAAAAAACTAGTATTACAACTTTAGTCAGCAGTTAAAATCTGGAACAATCTTCCTGAAAATGTGATACAGGATTCTACTCTGACAATGTTGATATCCAGATTAAAAAAACAGTTCTGCTGTGTACACAACTGAAGGATTGCATCTATTTTAATGCACTGTGATTATTTATGCACTATATAAGGTGTATGAAATATGCTTAACAAATAAACTTGCCTTGTCTGAAAGGCAGGCTCAATATACATCAGAGTGATTTAACACAGAGCACTTTTGGGAGCAGGGTGCATGAGTTAATTAAAACAAGGAAAGTAGAGGTACAGGGCCATTTATTCTTTGTGTAAAAATGTAAAGAAAAAAATATATGATAAAAATACGGAAATGACACCATCATGTAAATATTTGGAATCCTTTCACAACAGCCGGCCCCTCAGCGCGCTCATCATAAAGACGTTCACTTGGGGGAAACGGGCCCCTGTGTGGCGGAGGACATCGGTCACAGTCTCTGCTCCGCTGCTCAGCATTACCAGAGCCTGTCTGTGTGTCTGACATTCATTACTGCTGGTCACTCGGGCTGTCCTCTGACCTCTGGCCTCAGCACTGACCGTGCCGTGGCCCCTGGGTGACTTTAGTGTCTGGCTCACAGCGCAGAACAGAGGGTCTGTTTGGCCCCTGCCCCTGTCCCGCTCTTGGATAACAGCCCTGACCCCAGCCTCAACAATGTGGACGTATACACATGGCATATGATGAGCAGAGGGTAGGGCAGGCTGGTGCGGGGCCGGCTTTATGGACACAGGATTACAAGACAATATTCAGATTCAGACTAGTTTATTTATCCCACCAGGAGAGATTCATTTGAGCAGAATAGATAAGATTGAATATGACAACAACTGTATTGATCTCACCATAAAAACACAACAAAAATTAAAGAAAAACACAGGAAGCTAGCCCAAACAAGTATGTTTTAGTTTACACTTGAATGAGTTTCATATCACTCCATTTACAAGGAGCATAATGGGAGAAAGCTACTTTTAGTTTTCACATATGGAATCTTGCTCAATAGTTTGTGTCCTAACATAAGCACACAATCATTTTCTAATTATCAACTTACCTTTTGATGCCAACAGCTCAAACCATGAACCATTGAGAACATTATTGGATATTGATAATGTATTTCTCATCAATTTGAGGTTTAATGTTATTCGTCCTCATTGACAAATCAGAATCAGAATCATTTGTATTGCCACGTAAGTAACAGGAGGTCACAGACTTGGAAATTGATTTGGCTCAGTGCAGCAGTCAGAGAGAGAGAATAAAAGTAGCAGGGAAGTACATCCTCTGCTGGGCCTTCTTGATGAGGGAGCTGATGGTCGGCTCCCTCTTGAGGTCCTGGGTGATGGTGGTGCCGAGGTAAACTATGACAAATGTGGATCATTTGATATTATTGTTTACCATAAACTATTATTTCATCCAGCCATCCATTCATTTTCTTCTGCTTCATCCGTTGCTGGGTCACGATGGCAGCAGTCTAAGCACAAACACCCAGACCCCCCTAACTACTAATTACACCTGCCGTGTTCAGGAAAATAAATAGAGCTTTTCAAAGTTAAATAAGATTAAGATTAAGATTAAGAGATCCTTTATTTGTCCCACAGTAGAGACAATTCAGTGTTGCATCTCAAGTTACAGAACAGTAGGAATGAGGAACACACAGCACAAGATGAATAATAACTATACTAAAATAAAATAAAATCTCTAACTGTAGCATAAAAAGGAGCAGTATAAAATCTCTCTTTAGCAAAATAAGGAAGAACTCCAAATTTAGCATGCTGAAGAAGCAAGACTTAAATTCAAAAACCCCTGACTTTAGCTTGGGGCAACAAGGGGATACTCTTATAGTATAGTTATAACGTGGGCTGTTGCATGAGGTCACCTTTCGCCCATAGAGTGTGTCTCAAACTGCTGACCTGGGCTCCTCCTCTGCAGCTCTGGACCATGGCTCTCTCTGGCCCAGGACCCAGACCTGTTGGCTCAGACGGTGGAGCAGAGGGGACAGTTGGACTGGGGCCACGCCGCATGCTCTTCACTGCTGATCCTCTGAACCACTGCAGAGGTTTATAGTACAGCTCTCCCATATGCTTTTAGTTTGCACACATGGTTTCACTGAAGGAAGAGCTCGGCAGACTGCGGGACCATCCACCCGATCACACCGACCATGTCACATCGCCACTGTCTAAGTAACTGACATTCACGGTTATAATACAGATCAAAATATATGAATTCACATACTGTTGTTCAATGCGTTTCATCCCCGTTTGGAAGTGGACATGTGTGTTTTTATTGCAGTGATGCAGGAGGATCAAAGGGCAGTGGTGATCTGAGACGGACATGTATAAACATTTAGAGACACATGTTCACATTTATAGACATTGGTCATCCCGCGCCCTATAGACAAATGGCTCCTTTGTGTGTTTGTTATTATTGCAATTCATTGTTTGAACTGATCTGTTGTTGGCGAATTGACACATCTGTAAAGTCCTCTGAGATGACTGCTGTTGTGATTTAGATAGATAGATACTTTATTGATCCCGCAGGAGAAATTCAGGTGTCCAGCAGCAGCAACGCATCCATACAAACACAGAAGTACAGCAATTACTGTATAAACATTTCTAACTAACTACTAACAATAGTGTGCATGTTTAACAATGTTGTTTAAGAAACAAAGGACCTTTTAAAACAGTATATATACAGTATAAATAATTGCTGTACAAAAATAAATGTAAATAAACATGTAATTGTATCCATAAACGCATGTTTCAGAGCATCTAGAAACTGGGACCTATTTGAACATCAAGACCTGGAAATGTTCACAGAGGCAGTGCTGGACTATATCAAGTTCTGCATGGGCAATGTGACAGTGAACAAAACCATCCGGGTTTTTCCAAACCAGAAACCCTGGATGTCTAAACAGGTCCGCACACTTCTCCAAGCTCGTGATGCTGCCTTCAGGTCTGGCGACAGAGCGCTATACAGTGCCGCTCGAGCTGACCTGGAGAAGGGAATCAAAAGAGCTAAGAAAGATCATAAGAGGAGAACAGAGTCCCACATGTCCAGCAACAACCATAGAGAAATGTGGAGGAGCATCCAAAACATTACCAACTATAGAGGCTGCAGTGCTACAGCTACAGGACTGAGCGCGACACTAGCAGAGGAGCTTAATTGCTTCTTTGCTCGTTTTGATAACCCCCCATCTGCTCCTGGCCTGAACTCACCATCATTGGGTCACTGTGTTACTCCAGCCCTGCTCCCACCTTTATACCGATCTGACACTTCCCCTCTCACTGTTCAGGAGCACGAGGTTAGAAGGGTGCTTCTATCCGTGAACCCCAGGAAGGCCACGGGCCCTGACGGAGTACCGGGCAAGGTGCTCAAAGCATGTGCTTTCCAGCTCGCCTCCATCTTCACAAAGCTCTTCAATCTCTCTCTGGCTCAAGCGTCCATCCCCTCCTGCCTGAAATCAGCCACAATCATTCCTATCCCAAAGAAGTCTCCCATCACTAGCCTTAATGACTACCGCCCTGTGGCTCTCACTCCGGTAATCATGAAGTGCTTTGAAAGGCTGGTCTTGCAGCACATCAGAGACCTTCTCCCAGTCAATTTCAACCCTTTCCAGTTCGCGTATCGGGCGAACAGGTCAACAGAGGACGCCATCGCTGTAGCTCTCCACTCTGCACTGAGTCATCTAGAGCAGCAGCACAGTTACATCCGCATGCTGTTTGTGGACTACAGCTCGGCGTTCAATACAATCATTCCGGACATCCTCACCACTAAACTGAGCACGCTAGGTCTTCCATCCATCACATGTGCCTGGATTAAAAACTTTTTGATCAACAGGCCTCAGACTGTGCGTCTTGGTCCTCGTCTCCTCTCCTCCACCCGAACACTGAGCACAGGCTCACCCCAGGGCTGTGTGTTGAGCCCACTCCTGTACTGCCTCTATACCCATGACTGTAGGCCAACCCACAGCAACAACCTTATCGTTAAATTTGCTGACGATACCACAGTGGTTGGTCTCATTTCAAAGGGTGATGAGGCAGCCTACAGGGAGGAGGTCCTGAAGTTGACAGCTTGGTGTGCAGAGAACAATTTATCTCTTAACACTAAGAAAACCAAAGAGATCATTGTTAACTTCAGGAAGCACAACACAGACTTGGCCCCTCTTTACATCAACGGTGAGTGTGTGGAGAGGGTCCATAACTTTAAGTTTCTCGGGGTCCTCATCACCGCTGATATTTCCTGGTCTGAAAACATCTCAGCAATAATAAAAAAATCTCAGCAGCGGCTACACTTTCTGAGGGTACTCGGGAAGTACAATTTAGACTCTAGTCTGCTGCTGACCTTCTATCGCTCAGCCATCGAGAGCCTGATGACCTACTGTATCACAGTGTGGTACGGAAGCTGCACTGTGGCTGACAGAGAGAGGCTGCAGAGAGTGGTGAGGACAGCACAGAAGATCATTGGCTGCTCTCTGCCTTCTCTGATGGACATTTACACCAGCCGCTGCCTCAGCAGAGCAGAGAACATCATTAGAGACAGCTCTCACCCTGGATTCTCTCTGTTTGACCTGTTACCCTCAGGGAGGCGGTACAGGTGCATCAGAGCAAGGACAAATAGACTGAAAAACAGCTTTTTTCCAAAAGCTGTGACACTATTGAATTCTCATATGCACTGAATTTTATATCTTTTATATTATATTTATAACTCCTGAGCAATAGATGCAACTGCGCACTTTAATGTCTCTAATAATTTCTGTGTCTGTGTATTAACTTATTCTGTGTGTACATTCCTGCACTGGTGGAGTTGCTTTTAATTTCATTATGCATGTGCATAGTGACAAATAAAGTCTAATCTATCTAATCTATCTACAACCCAGACTCTTTAAAAACTCATTCATGCATAATATATTAAACTGTTTGCTAGAATTAGACACTTAACAACAAAACAAACTTTAGATTTTCGTGAACTTGCGTTGCCTTATCTCATCTATGATTAGCAGCATGTTGACGCTCCTAAGTGCATAGTTAACATGCCAGATGTTCTTCTTAATCAAATGATAATTACAATCCCCTCTCGCTAAAAGTGTTATTGGAAAACCCTTTGAAGCATGTGACAGAAAGGCCCACTGCAATGTCGTTGCATGTTTCTGTTTGAATTATGCGATTGGGCCACATCTTTATGGGCTCCTCATGTTTAGAGATGTATTAAAGCATGCATTAACATGTAATGAGCTAAAGTACACGTTTGCGTGGCTCTGGTTTTTGAATTTGAATGAATTATTTCAAACCTGCACAACACATCTTTCCAAGTATTCACAGAAAAATATGCAGTTACATGGTTTGAAAAGGGAATGGATGAAGCAAACACAACCCCCTCTCACTCTGTCAACACAAGACACACAAAACAATACAAGAGCAACACCATCCAACAAGACTCATAACAGTAATATGATCAAATCGGTCCCTCTCCCAAGTAATGCAGCTAAAGTACGGGTTCAAACTGGAAGATAGGATAAACTAAGCACACACTGCTCAAAGTCCTCCCACTGTTGCTCACAGCAACAGCATCAGTCAGTCACACTCAGCTGCAGCGTCACATTCCAATCCTCACCTGCAGCAATCAGGTACTGCCCGCATCAGCTTCATATCACACAGAATCTCCATCCAAGCAGCAGCATCATTCACGCCGCAACCCTCCTCCTCCCCATCTCCGCCTCGTTCTAGGCCGGCTCTTTCATTCTTCTCCTAAGATTCACCAGGTTCTAGGCCCGGGGGATTTCATCTCATAATCTCTTTCCCCTTCTGCAATCGTGCAGTGCTCTGCCGGGTCTAAGCGTCAAATCCTAAACACATTTTGTACAGCACAATAAATGTAATCTTGAAAATGTTGTCCTCACTGTCCTATGTGTAATTTAAGTGGTGTCAGATTACTTGCCAACCGATATTCAATTCTAATAACACCCATGTTTTTTTCTGTTTTACATAGCACTTTTCAGGACACTCAAAGACGCTTCACATGTCATTATTCTTTCACTCCATGTACAAAAAGCTTCTACCGCAGCCACAGCTGCCCTAGGGCACACTGACAGAACAAGGCACCCAGTATGTGCCATCGGCCCCTCCGACCACCACCAACCATTCACACACACACCAGACTCATTCTAGGCAATGTGGGTGAAGTGTCTTGCAGTTTGGTACTACAGCCGCAGCCGCCCCACTGTGACACCTGGTGTTCCCAGAGGTCTCCCATCACTGTACTAACCAGGCCCTGCTTCGGAGGTCTTACGGGATCTGGCTTTTGCATGCAAGTACACTGAAGCATTAGCAACAGATTTTCAAAAGCATACATGTTTAACAGAATACTCATAGATTCTACTACTGTATGTCACGAAGCCCTTCAAGCCAACTGGACCGACATGATCCTTTTCAAAACACTATTAGCACCAAAAGGCAATGTCAAATGTATGTTTTTGAAATCCCATTTAGAAATTATTCCTGATGTGTTTGTTGTTGTTGTGTTTCAGCTGTATATTTTAGTTGTGTATATTATACTGTGCTCACCCTCTACAGTTTTTTTTCAGTTCATTGTCTTTATCCCTCATCTCTGTAGTGGTTATTTAACTGTTCAGTTTTCATTTAGGATTGGTTTTCGATCAATCAACTTTTATTTGTAGAGCGCCTTTCCTACGCCTCACAACCCATATCACATCAGGCATGAATCATAAACATTAAAATCTACTTAAAAAATACAATTAGAATCCCACAGGGCTTTAAAAACACACAAGAAATATTCACTAGAAATATAAAAGAAATAGGCACAGTGAAAAATAAATCTTTCAGTTTTGTTTTCCTTTACCCTTGATTCTTCCATTTGACTCCTCCTTGTTATAAATGTGTGAGTAATAACCCGATGGAGCAATGGCTTGTATGTGTTTATTGCATTTCCTGTACTCTAATTGATCTTATGATGGCGAATTGACAATTTTTTTAAGTCCTCTGAGACGACTTAGGGCTGTACAAAAACATATGGAATTGAAGATGGACAAATAATGAAATGGACTACAGGTATTGTACAACCT